AGACCTGTAACTAATATTACTTTCATCTCTAAAATAATAGAAAAAGTTGTTTTAATCAACTCTCATCCTATTTAGACTTTAACTCTTTGCTACCTGTATCTCAATCTGGTTTCAGACCTGCTCACAGTACTGAAACTTCTTTACTTAAAATACACAATGATATCCTTCTCTCTAGTGACAATAGTAATCTTACTCTTCTTCTTGCTCTTGACTTTTCTTCAGCTTTTGATACTGTTGACCATACTATTCTCTTGAGACTGCTGCATCTTTCTTTTAATATTACTGATTCTTGTCTATCTTGGTTTTCTTCTTATCTCTGTAATCGTTTTTCTTCTGTTGTTCTCAATAATTCTACTTCTAACTCCTCTACTCTTACTTTCGGGGTACCTCAGGGTTCTATCCTTGGCCCTCTTCTATTTATACTCTATACTTCTGAACTACCTCGTATTATTAATAACTTTTCTTTCTCTAGTCAACTATATGCTGATGATTCTTATATTTATACTTCTTTTCCTCCATCTAATCTCAATAGTGTTCTTCATAATTTATCTCTATGTCTTTCTTCGATTATCGCATGGTCTGATTCTATGTGTCTTAAACTTAATCCTTCTAAGTTTGAATTAATTTGTTTTAATAAATCTAAACACTCAATTACTATTCCTCCTATTATCTTACCTGATTCTAAAACTCTTGATGTCTCTCATAAGTTTCGTAGTCTAGGTTTTATCTTTGATTCTACTATGTCTCTCTCTTCTCAGATTAATAGTGTTGCTAGAAGCTCTTACTTTCATATACGTAGAATAAAAAAACTTTTGCCTTTTCTTGATGATCCTACTCTTCTCCTTCTTGTTACTTCGTTAGTCTTATCTAGGATTGATTATTGTAACTCGCTCTACTATGGTCTTCCTGACTCTATACTCTATCCTTTAAGTAAAGCTTTTAACTCTGCTGCTCGTCTAGTTGCTCGTGCCCCTTTCTTTTCTCATATATCTCCATATCTTGTTCTCTTGCACTGGCTATCTATAAAATATAGAATAATTTTTAAAATTTGCACGTTCATGTATAAGTCTCAATCTAAATTATTTCCTAAGTACTTATCAGATATATTAATTGAACCTAAACGCCCCGGTTTACGATCGTCTTCTTCTTCTCGCTTTTTCTTAACTCGTGTTAAACACTCTTTTGCCAAATCTGCTTTTGCTTTTTCTGGTCCTTTTCTCTGGAACTCTCTACCTACTTCTCTAACTATTTCTCCATCACTTGCGAAGTTCAGAGCGGATCTCAAGACCCATCTGTTTTCAAAATTCATTGAGGAGCGCTGTTGAACATCGCGGAAATAGCGCTTTATAAGCTAATTGATTGATTGATTGATTGATTGTTATGCATATACATGGAGGGACATAGAACACGATTTTGTATTAGAAATTGAGCTATAATTACTGTGCAATAAGTCGGTGATTAGACTGTAGTACTTGAATTTAACGTTCAGGGATAAAGAATTAATTTGTGTGAATAAATTTAAAACGTCAAGAAACTCTTGTTTCCAATAAAGTGTATAATTTGATAATGGAAAAAATTTGGTCCTATGCATTATAGAATTATTTGTATTACGGAGCTCGGTTGAAGCTATTTCAGTTCAAAATTAATGTTTTAGAGTGTTTTTAAAATGTATTCAAACATGATTTCTCAATAATAATAGCTAAAAAACAAAAACTGAATCACATATGAAATTATTTTTCTAAAAAAATAATTGCAATAAAATTACAGATGTCGCTAAAAACTTCAAATTTCGTCTAATTTATTTTTAACAAAAAAACATTTTTGTCATCGGCTTCTTTTCTTTTATGGTTTGCAGCATATTGGCTTCATATTTGTCGACAAAGATTCCATTCGCGTCATTCACGAATGTCGTCCAGCAAAAATGAGAAAAGTGTCTCAAATGTGGAGGCCGAGGTCGCCTCCCCACCTAAGAAGGGAACCGGAGAAGAGTCCGAAGAGGAGAGCGAGGTGCTGGAGGAGAGTCCCTGTGGTCGCTGGCAGAAGAGGAGAGAAGAGGTTTCATTCAAATTTTTATTTGTTCCTTCTTTTTAAACTCTCAACATTAAATTAAATAAAATTATTTAATTATCCAAAGAAGATTTTTTGGTTGATTTTCAATCACTCTTTTCTCCTAATAATTTCTAACCTAATCAATGATTAGTAATCATTGACCTCTAATGATAAATTTAATGTTTAATCTTTAATGTTAATCTATCGTAAGTAACATTTCTGAAAGCTACTAATGACTAACACTAATGTCTCTAAATCTTATCTTGTGAAGTCTAAAAATTTCATTAAAATCATTTTTTGCTATTTTTGGTGACCATTCTATATTTATATTTTATTATATTTACCTGTTGTTAGCATTTTATAATTTAAGTTCAACCTTTGTTTTTGTGTTTGTGCAAATGTTTTAATTAGAACAGATTAAAATTAAATTAAAACTTTCAACATTTTGGCTCTTTCATTTTTATAGTAAATCATATAAAACTGACAGATTGATTGAATATTCATAATCTGTGTTAAATGAATGAAAATATGATTTGAGAATAATTTTTTTACTTTTTAATTGTATTCAATAAATTTAACATAACATTTAGAAGAGACATTAACCAAGGTATGTTTTTCATGAATGTTCATTAAATAAGGATAATAATAAGAACTGAAATGTTATTTATTATAAAATGTTTATTAATAATATTTAATAAATTTCATATATTAAATCTTATATATTCAATAAATTATATTTAATGATCATTGTAAAAGGTGCAACAGCGAAATGTCCCCGGAATTGATTGTGCATTTCTGGCCATGGACACAGAGGAAGGTGTCGAGGTGGTTTGGAATGAAGTAAGAATATCTGAGAAGAAATCTTCCAAAGTTCAACTGGTTGGATGAATATTCATTTTTTTTTCTGTTGTTTATTTCTTTTTCATTTTTTTGGTTATTAATTAATATTGCTATTAAAATAATTATATCATTATTATTTGTGTAAGTTCTTCTTGCACTTTGGAGTCTTTTTTCGCCAGCAAGATTATGAAAATTTGAATCTGTTTATTCAACAACGTAAAAATGCAAATTAAATTTTTTAAACTTAACCATTATATATTTTAAAAACTGTTATTTCTATTATTATCATTATTATTTATCATTATTTATTATTTTTTGCCTTGTTTTCATTTATTGTCCATTTTGTCTTTTTATTTATTTCTTGCTACTAGTTTTAACCTCTTTGCATCTATTCATTACAAACTGCTTGATTAAAATTGTGTGTGTGTAGATGTGTGTGTGTGTGTGCGTGTGTGGTTTGAAAAGTTTTATGTAAAGAATAACATTATTAATGTTATTGTTGTTTGTTTCAATGGTTGTGGTTATTTTTGTGGTTATTTCTATTTTTGATAAGTGGTTTTTGTCGTGTTTAATTAATTTTTGTTGTCATTGGTAGTCATTTGTTGCGGGACTACGGAATTAATTAACACAATATTTTCATTTTGCTTGCATTTGCTGTGGGACTACGGAAATAATTAACATAATATATTTATTTTTTGGTTGTCGAATTAGACATCAGACATGATTAAAGATATTCAGGTTGGTTTAAAAATCAAATAATATCAATAATAATAATAATAATAATAATAATTTATATTATTTTAACTATTATCGTCATTATCATCATCGTTAGTATTTCTGTTATTTATATATTTCTAGCAGGTTGATATATCATTTTAGATTATTTTGTGTTTGTTAATTCTATTTTTCATTATTTTGTTGTTATAAAATCAGGGAATGTTTTACTGTGTTTGATGTGGAAATAGGAAAAGGCATATTGATCAATTTCATGAGAGAAAGAGAGAAAAAGAGTAAGAGAGAGGGAGAGATTACGATGAAGAGGAGAGAGGAAGTGCATGAAAAAACAGATATGGTGTGAGAGGTATGGATCTAAATAATTTCAGCATCTCTTCATCTCCTCCTCCTAATGAAATAAATTGCAGACTGATTGAATGATATTTAAAAAAACACACACACACAAACAGAGATATCTGCATGCTGCAATTTAAATTAATAACTTATTCCTGTACATAGAATCTCTTCTACTAGTTATTTATACTAACAATTTTTTATAATAAAAGAATGTTTATTTGAGAGCTAATCAAAAATGTGTGTAAAGAGAGAGAAAGAACGCGAAAAAGAAAGAGAGAGAGAGAGAGAGAAAGAAAGAGAGAGAAAGGAGTGGTGTGTCTACATTGATTGAATTGTGCTTTTGTGTATGCTTTAGCTGATGTTGACCATGCAGATGTTTTCAGTATCCTTTTGTGTAGTTATTTAATAAATTATAGATCCTACTATTGATATTTATTTATTTGAGTGTAGCACAATTTGTTTGATTATGCAGTTTACAATCTTTAACATCCTCTTTCAATCAAATGTACCATTTTATTTAATTTTTCATTGATTCATTCACTTCTTTTAAACATTATTTTGGCTGATTTATACAGAGTTTATTTGGTATTTATAACATAATGCTTTGTTTTATTAAGGTTTGGATCACTTATTATAGTTTTTTAATTATTTGACCACATTACTTCAACATTTATGTGAAACATTATCTTCTTAGTTATCTTTTTTTTTCATTATTATTCACCATTCATACATAGGCATATCAGTAATTGAACTAAACACTGTTTACAAAAAAACAGCACATCACTGGTCCAACCGAACCATCCACTAGCAAGGTAAATAACATCATTTCACTAATTATACTAGTTTACTTTCCCCCAATTAGGACAAGATTCGACAAGTGTTTGACAACCTCATCGAACTCGAACATCCAAACATTGCCAAGTTTCACAAGTACTGGACAGACAGCTCTAAAGATAGGCCCAGGGTTGAACTTTGAACTTTCCCTCTTTCATGCATTTATTTTTATGTTGAAAAATTTATTATTTACTTATTTATTACCTTTCATTTATATTGCTATTTATTAAATTTTTGTGACCTACATAGTGTATTGAAATTAATAATAATATTATTATAGCATATATTAAAAGCAGCGGTTATAAAAACGTTAATAATAATATAATTTTAATAACAAAATAATAAAATAATAGCAATAATAATAATTATAATTTTAATAATTATGGAAATTTTACAAAATCTCACTATAATAACAGATAAATAGTGACAGACAGACACAGCCTCTTGCACTGTTTTTGCACAATAATATTAAATGAGTGTCTCAAGTTTTTTAATCTGCTTTCTCCTCTTTCATATGATCTACCATTTGTTTACTTGCATTCTCTGTAAACAACTTCACACAAACAAAGGCATTTACACATATACGCGCGCGCACACACACACATACACATACAAAATCATATACAAAGGGACACATAGTATTGCATGCCGGTTTCTACACGCATAGACGCAAGCACATATATACATTAGTACACACACATTAATACGTACATACATGCACACCACACCACACCTCTTCTTCATCATCACACAGTCTAGATTATTATTTATGGCACCATCATTGCTATTGCTGATCATCATCAATACATTGTTGCTCCGTTTGGTCATAATCTTTATGAGTAAATGATTAAATGAGTGACTGAATGAACGATTGAGTGAGTGAGTGAGCAAGTGAGTGAGTGAGCGAGTGAGTGAATGAGCGTGTGTGTGTGTGTGAGTGAGTGAAGGAATCCATAAAGGAGTGGATAAATATGACAACGAAAAATTATCATTCTAATACAACGTCCTTAATTACGTTATTCCAATCTCATTGTTATCATCTATTTATCATTAATAAGCACTGTAAGATTTGCATTCCTTAAATGATGTTAATGAAGTTATTATGCAAACGTGTCTTGTTTGAAAGCATGAACTAATTTTACGTGTTGAATGTCTTGTTTGAAAGACATTCAACTGGTTTACCAGTTCGTTTGTTCAATCACTCATTTCCAAACTCATTCACTAATTCACTCGTGCATTCGTTCATGCATTCAGTCAATTTATCATACATTCAGTCACTTATTCATAAGTTTACTCATTTATTTACTCATTTATTTACTACTCGCTCACACTCAGGTCATCTTTATCACGGAGTACATGTCGTCAGGTTCGCTGAGGCAGTTCCTCAAGAAGACCAAGAGAAGTAATCGAACTCTCAAGGTCAGACATCTTTCAGTAGACAGGAATAATAATTATCGTGATGAGAATAATGGAAGTGTATGTATGTATGTATGTATGAACCAATGTGCGTGTGTATGTATGTATGTGTGTGCTTGTGTATGTATGTATATATGTGCGTGTGTATGTATGTATGTATGTATGTATGTATGTATGTGTGTATGTATGTATGTATGTGCGTGTGTATGTATGTATGTGCGTGTGTATGTATGTTTGCGTGTTTGTCTATGTGTGTATGCTTGCATATGTGCCAATGGCGAATTTAGTATAGGGAAGCCAGGAGGAAGGGGGAGGGCTTGGCTTCTCCCTGTAAACAGTATTGTTATTAAAAGTCAGTAAAACTTATGTCTAGATACACTACATCAAATTTTGCTAGTCTTATGGCTCCCCACTGGCAAACTTAAAATTTCGGCCCTCACCTTCAAAGTTCTCTGGATCCTTCCCTTGATCATTCATGTATATTATTATTTTTCCTATTCAGGCTTGGAAAAGATGGTGCACACAGATACTATCTGCCCTAAGGTTTCCAACGTCATCTAATACTAACTATTATTATTATTATCACCATCATTATTATTAGTACTAACCGACTGTTATTCTCGTTATCAATGAAGTTTTATCTTATCTTTATTCAAAGAGGATTGTTATCCTATTCTTATTTTTCATCATTCTTAATGGTGTCTTGGATGACACTTGCTTCATGCCAGACAGACCGAATTGAATCGTCGTAATTTGATTCGTCATCTTCATCCTTATGTCCAGTTTGAATTCATTGTTATTACTGTTATGTATAATAAGCACTTACTACTTCTACCATTACTACTACTACTACTTCTACTATTAAAACTACTAATACTGCTAACTACTTCTACTACTACTTCTACATACTTCTGCTGTTATTATTATTACTAATACTACTACTACTTCTACATACTTCTACTGTTATTATTATTACTACTACTACTACAACAACTACTTCTACTACTATTACTACTACTACTGCTACTACTACTACTACTACTACTACTACTACTTCTACTACTTCTACTACTACTAATATTACTACTACTCCCACTAACACTGCTACCACCACTACTACCATCACCACAACTGCTACTGATAATAATAATAACAATAATAACAACAACAACAACAATAATAATAATAATAATAATAACAATCGTAATGATTCATGCATTTAGCTACCTGCATAGCTGCAGTCCTCCAATAATACACGGCAACTTGACGACGGATACAATCTTCATCCAACACAATGGTCTCATTAAAATTGGATCTGGTCTGTTGTTGTTTATACTGTTGTTACTGTTGTTGTTATTATTATTGTTGTTGTTGTTGTGGTTGTTGTTATTGTTGTTGTTATTGTGGTTGTTGTTGTTGTTGTTGTTGATGATGCTGTTGTTGTAGTAGTTATTGTTATTATTATTTTGTAGTTGTTTTGTTCTGTGTTCAGTGTTTTTTTTCACTTTATTTTTATGATATTATTGTCAGTTTTAACCGTTATATGACTGCTTCTGTTAAATTTAATGTAAATATAATATGAAATAAATAAAAAAATTATGAAAATTTTTATTAAAAAAACATTTTTTCATCTGCACGTGTGTGGTTATTAGTTGCCCCGGACGCCATTTACAACCACGTTAAGACATTCAAAGAAGAACCGAAACATCTACATTATTCTGCCCCAGAGTACAAAGGTCAGTTAGGCATTGGGTAAGTTAGTGGCTAAGAAAGTAAGTAACTGGCTAAGAAAATAAGTGAGTAAGACAATAAACTAATACGTAGTATACATAGGTAGGGCGACGCAATGGTGTAACAACGTTAAAGCACCTGGCAACGCTATTGCAGTTGACCGGGTTCGACTGCAAAGAGATCCTCACTTGTCATATACAAATGTGTGTGTGATGCGTTGTTTTACGTGTATTTTAGTGCACTATGGGTTTGCTGCTGGTGCATCTCAAATATAGTGGAGAGAAAATTGTAATGAAGGATCTGTAATGATTGAAGATTGAGTGGGTGATGAAGTGAGTAGCCAGGTTAGGTAAGTAATAAGGTTGGTCAGTGAGTGAGTAGAGTGAATGAGTTTGTTGTTGGGTGAGTAAAAATCAATAAGTAGACAATTTTAACATCAGTAATATTAATTTTTTCTGTACGATTACGAATTGTTGTATCAATAAATTGTAAATAAATAAATGTGGTAATAATTCTATTCCAGACAATGCCAACGTCACCACGAGTGTCGACATATACAGTTTTGGCATCTGTGCACTTGAGGTAAGCCAAGCAACCTGGCAGTGCTATTATGTGCTACTACTATATACACTCTGATCTGTATCTACGCCTTCATTTTTTTTTTAACTTATTGGAAATAGCGACTGGCTCTTTAGAGTGAATAAATGAATGATTGATTGATTGATTGAATGAAAAAATTATTGATTGATTTATTGAATGAGTGGCCGATGAAATGAATGACTGAATGAGAGAATGATTAAATAAATGAGTGACTGATTGGTTGTATGAGTGGCTGATTGATTGAATGACTGACTGAATTAATAAATGAATGAACGAATGCAGATGGCCGCCCTGGACATGTCGGGCAACGGAGAGACGACACACTCGATGACCGACGACGCCATTGTCAAGGCCATTGAGTCCATTGAAGATGTTCAACAAAAGGTTTTTCTACCGTCCGTCTGTCTGTTTGTTTGTTTGTTCATTTGCCCGTTTTTTTAATCACTTTAACCCATTTGTTCTGATCAATTCAAACCATTTTTTTCATAATCAGCTTCACCCATTTTTTTCTCCATCATCCTCCAATCAGGACTTCATATCGAAATGCTTGGAGCAGGATCCTAACAGACGCCCGACAGCCCGCGACCTCCTCTTCCATCCAATCCTCTTCGAGGTTCACAGCCTCAAGTTATTAACGGCCCACGTCTGCATCAAATCATCCAGTTCGTTTTTTTCAGCCGTCATCATCATCGTCATCATCATCATTATTATTTTTGTTGTTGTAATTGTTATCATTATCCCCATGGTGAGCAGAAGGCAGTTCTGACGACATATCTTCCTTGATAACATTCGAAGCCTCGAAGATAGTTGCTGAGATCCCTGCCAGAAACAACAAACCATCCGTGCCTCTCAGGTTCTTCTTTTCTCTTCCATTCACTCATTCATTTTTTTATTTATTAATTAATTAATTTATTCATTCATTTGTTTGTTTGTTTATTTGTTTATTGATTCATTCATTTGTTTGTTCATCCATATGTTCCTCCATTCGTTTATTCATTTTTTACTTCTCCCTTTCATCTTGTCTTATACTCACATGAAATTACAATACGACGCAACGCAGTACATACACTCACTTCTTCTTCTTCTCATCAGTTTTCCACAATCAGCTATGATGGACTTGGAAAAGTTCATTGAAGATGTAAGGTAGGTTCTTGTACTTACACGTGCGAAATTTTTTTTTCCTCAAAAACTTTTTATGATTCGATATGAATATTAATAACAATATTCACTCATGAAGTTAAATTTGGTAATGTTCATTCTTCTTCGTAATCTCTAGAATTATTTCTTCGTTTAACTCACTCAAATACATCTGCATTGACTAGCAGATGTTTTTCAAGTGTCACGAATTTACATAGCTCCTTACTTGCAGTTGAACGAAATTGACACGAGTCATATGAACTAATACTAAATACATTTTTTATACCAATATACTTTCAACACCTTGCACATTCCTCTTTAGAAATGGCGTCTACCCCCTCACTGCCTTCGGCTTCACTCCTCGTCCCGCCTCGACTACCCCCAAAGAAACGACGGAAATATTTTCCGAAACAGACAACGGTACGGAGCCAGACGAGACGGTCCCACCCGGGTCCGAGACACGTCTGGTCATCCGACAGTCGTGTCAAATAGCCCAGCGGGATGACAAGTCGGCTCTGCAGTTGACCCTGCTACTTCGTATGGACGACCAGATGAACAGGCAGTTGCAGTGCGAGTTCACCAAGGATGAAACTCCAAACTCTTTGGCCGAAGAACTCGTTCAGCATGGATTCATCAATTCTGTTCGCTTTTACTTTCTTATTATTATTTATTTGATTAAATTATTTTGTACGTGTTAATTAATTTATTTGTTAATTTTTTTTCAATAATATACTCATGGGAAATTTATTTATTTTTAGATCGATTGTCCGAAAATAGCCATCCTTATAGAAGAGAAGTTGCGTCTCTGGTTGGACAGTCAGCAGGCGCTTAACAAGTAGTTCATCTCAAATCGACCAACCACATTTCTTTTTTCAATCGACGCTTATTCTTATTGGCTGGCTAGGAAGATGTTTACGTTTTCTTTTTCATTCAAAAAAGCATTGTAAGTAAGGCACGAGGCGATCAAATCATCATCATCATTCAATATCATCATCATTCAGATAGCTTTTTTTAATGCTTTTTCAATTTATCAATTAGTGATAATAAATGATTACAAGACAACAATTTGTAATGAACTGAGTGAATGTCTATCATCACCATCATTGTCGTCATCGTCGTCGTCATCATCATCGTTCGTCGTCATAATGCGAGATATAGTATTAACATGATAAAGTTAGCATTAACTTTGTTTAATTTTTCTTCTGTTTTTTATAGCAACTTACTAAGTTTTGATAGAAAATTTGTTTGCGAATGTTACAGAATGTTAAATTTGATTTTGTCAAATGATTTTTTTTCAGTTAAATAAATCTATATATATATATATATATATATATATATATATATATATATATATATATATATATATATAATTATTCACCTAATTATACGCTTGTCTGTTTGTACAACATAAGTGTGTGTGTGTACTGCACACAGGTACACAGATGTGCGTGTATATGTATACACAAGTGGGTATTACATATGTTTGTGTGTGGGTATACAAATAAGTATATTGGGTTTGCATGTGACAGGATTTATAAATTTGCCATACCCTCATAGTTTATTTGATGTTGCTTCGTCGCTATTGTTATTATTTTGATTCATTTTTATCATTTTCTTTATGATATTTTTGACGTATTTATTGATTAAATTATTCAATTATATATATATAATTCTACAATACTGTATAAAATATGGTCTCCTCTCAACATATAAATATATATATTTATATTATGTATAACTCCTAAAAGGTTTAAGTTTTCAAGAAAAGTTTCAATAATGGCATAAGTTTGTATGTGTATGGAACCTTTTATTTTCGTCACCGGTCAGATTGGTTGATTTCGGAACCCTTAGCGTTCTGTTATTATATTTCACTTTTATAGCCAGCTTTGTAATAATTAGCAATGTTTTTTTTTCATCCCATTTGGTTTGGTTTTTTTCAATCATTCAATCTGTCATTTGTTCTGTTGGTTAATCTATAAATAGGTCTATCGATTTATCAATCATTCACTCCGTCAATCAGCCAATCAATCAATCAGCCAATCAATCAATCAGCCAATCAATCAATCAGCCAATCAATCAATCAGCCAATCAATCAATCAGCCAATCAATCAATCTAATCGTACATTACCTGCCGTTTTTTTCTTCAGATTTTGAATTATTGAATTATTTTGCGAATTGTAAACATTGTATATAAATATATTATTCCTATAAACATATAACATTGCGTGGTTGTATACGTTTGTTTGTTGTGTGCGTGTATCTGTGTGTACTTGTGTGTGTGTGTGTGTGTGTGTGTGTGTACGTGTGTTTGCTTGCTAATTATTAAAATCCTATTGGTCCACACTAGTCATGTGATATAAATATTTTTAACAAACGAATTAGCTTTTAAGTTAAGAACCTTAGTTTAATGTTAATTGTGGACTGGTAGATTTGAACATCAGATGTAATATGTGAGTTTTTCAGAGAATTGTGCGCGTGTGCGTGTGAGATTCGAAAAGTGATACGTAGGTAATTGCTAGAATTAAAAAAAAAATTTGCTTTCATATTTTTAAAAACTAAAAACTAATTTTATTCACTTTTTTTTCTTAATATATTTATGGATAACTTTTTAAAAACGAACAACAAAGATTTCACTTAAGTATTCTTTTAATTTTAATGTATTTTTACTTTCATTATCTCAATCCCCGCTTGTATTCCATACAATTAAATGAATATTTTACTAATTATATATAAGTTTATTAACTACTTACATACAAACTTACGCGTAAATATATACACAGATACACACATGTATACAAACATGTATGTATACATACAAACGTGGTACATACATATCGAACTGTTTTTAGTGTTGAACAAGAACATAAACTTCGTCGAGCCGTTCGTACATACATATATGCAAACATAAATACATATACTAGTTGCGTACATACATATATGCAAACATAAATATATACACGCATATACTAGTTGCTTAGCTTGGATATATCTTTTGGCATGTTGCATAGCGTATAACATTCATGTAACATAATTCCTAACACAAAAGGGTATGTGAATATGAAGTATATATAACCCAATGTCTGTCCATATCATGGATGTTGTTTGGTGCGTGTATACGAATCGTGAGGAATAGATATTAACATGTTTCACATATTGCTTAGTAAAATGATGAATTAATAAATAAATAAACGAATAAATAGTAACAATAGTATATACAAACAACCCTCGATACATCGGTAGCTTTTAAAGATTATAGTGCATTTGCTCATTCACCGATTACAGATTTTTTTACTTAATTTTTTTTTCTTGAAAAAATATTTAATAAATAAAATATTCAATATTAAAATTGTCAGGCCGTTGTTCATTCGTAATGGGAAAAACTGTCGATGAAAGTTAAACTTTTCAATCAGAGACGTTACCAACTACAACTACAAATTACATTAGCTATTCAGTCTTTATTTGGCAATACCCATAACTTACCTATATTTATCTGATTTATCCTTTTATTATTTTACCTTTTTGATCATATTAGTAAATAAGACGTTTTTCATTTATCTATTTTTCAAAAAACAGAAATTTCCGACTAATTTTCAAAACAAAAAATTTGGTTAAAGATAAAAAAAATTTTATCACGAGACCAAAAAAAGACAAACAAATGTGAAAGAAATATAAAGAACTGCGTATTTATAACAATTATCTCCATTAATTAAAATACAATTAATCAAAAGGGGGTGAGTCAACAGCTTCGTAAAGATTGATGGTATAGATCAGTTAGATATAGATTAGTTGGTATCCATTGATTCAAATGGATGCACGCATCAAATTAGATGGGGATTGGATTAACACGGGGGCCAGCCTAACTGACGACCTCCCAAAACGTGTAAGTGAAGATGGTACACGGATTGACAACCTTGTGGTCCGTTGTTTATAACTGCCAAAAGTAAAAATAATATATATGAATTATAATATTTACTACTTATTAATTAGTGTTAATTACTGATTAGTATTAGTAATTAGTATTATTGATATAGTGGTTGTTTCCATGCTCTGCATAAAATTGTTGACAAAATTGTTAACAGATATAAGCCATTCTATTGTTATAACTTTTATAACTATGCAAGATTAGAATGGTTTCAGGATGAGTCAACAAGAATTGTAGTGAAGCTTGGGTGGTTTCAAAAGGTAAGTTCTATAAAAGTGGGAATAATGTATTGAATATTCATCACAACAGCTTCTTCTAGCCATTGTTGCAATATATTGAAATTACTTCATCTTTATAAAATTGCATACTAAGGTCAACAGTTTAATGAGAAGAAATTTAAAAGGTAAGAGTATGACGAAAACTGAAGAAAGATAACATTAGATACCGAACTGTAAAAAAAAAATTAATGATGCAATAAATTATAAAAAAATAATAAATTACCTGTTGGAAAGAAATTAAAATGTAACAAATTTTCAACTGACCAACTCTGTATCCACTGTCCAAGCGTTGTTCTCTGGCCACCTTGTCCACTACAGTCATCATGTGACCGAGGAGCTAAGAAAATTATTTTAAAAACTATAAGAGTGTTTGTTAGCTATAAGAATTGAAAAATAGAAATTCTAAAAGATAATCAGGTGAATGAATGGAAAATTTATACATTCTGACCATTTTATCCTCATCTTTGACAGCAGACAGACCAGTGATTATTTTCCTCGGGACTAACAGGAAGTGCACCGGAGCTTGGGGGTTGGCATCATGAAAAGCTACACACTGGAGTTACATGTTTTTGTTAATTAAAGTTTAAAATAAATTCAACGTTTAAAGGAAACAGTAGTTGATGACTAAAATATTATATTTATACGACATGCTAACTGTTAAGCCAGCTATGACACACAACAAATCAAGTAAAATAAAAGATTTCTAACAAATTAACAAGTAAACAATTGAAGAATTCAACCAAGAAACATTTTATTTCTAGATTTTTCCATAATATGTTGTAATTATTGACAATATAACAATAATATTACATGCACATACATAACATAACATAGCAGGCATCTGCTTTGAATGGAATACTATGACCAAACAATTTTTTTAGTTGGAACAATTACAATAAGTTAAGTAAGTAAGCTAACTCAGAAAACAAAACTAAAATTGAAAATATAATCAATAAAAAAAACGAATTTTTCAAATGCAAACAATAAAAATAATTAATTAAATATTTGTGCAACCTACTAATTAATATTTATTATTTATTTATTTATTTTATAAAAATAAATAAAATTACATGTTCATCCTCGTAGATGAGCTTAGCAGGAATGGTTTTGTCAATAATTTTGCTGAAAATGGTTGGTTTGGGGGGTTCCTCACTCGTCGGCACGGTGGCCCCCATGGCTCTCTGAACTTCATCATGGTGGCTCATCTTCCTTAATGTGAGGATTCGCGTTTTGTCGCAAGGGAACTTCAAAACAATAAAAAAAAATGTAACTAATTGATAGTAATAATTTTTTTCCAAAATAAAAGAAACACTATTTCGACTAATTAGTTAAAACATAATTTAAAATACCTTTTTACGGCAGGCAACGTTTAAAACAGAACTTCGTATCAACTGCCTAATTCCGCTCAGCATAGTTGTGTGGTTCCATAGATAAAAAAACTCTTATTTGAAAAAATTTAGAAACAAAATAAAGTAACACGTATTTGGCATCACATATAATGAAAATACTTATTTAAACCCATATAATTAGAATAAATATAACGGCCTTCGCTCATTTTTGACGGTCGAACAAGGAGCTTACTTTCGGAGGAAAATTGGAGGGTGATTTTTTATCGCCCAAGTCAAAAGTTACGATCGTATATTTACTAATTTCGGAATATTGCTTTTATTTAAAATTTCAAAATGTTTTAAAAGGTGATACTAGATGCTGTTTTAGGATAGATGTTGCTGTATGACGGTTAAGTATCTTTTTGCATTTTAAATAAAAAAAAATTTTTGTGAACCACCAACGACACTTAAACTCGTTAACTGTAACAACACTAAACGACGACTAATTAGTAATTAAATTACTAAAATCTAATAATTAAGCTAAAACTAAACTCTACTGATTCTAATTACTAATTGAAATAACACTAACGAACATTAACTAGAAACTAGACTACTAGAAACTGCCAACCACTACAGTTAACCACTAACAGCACTTGTTCCTAAGATCCTAAATTCTATTGCTTGATTGGTTTTAAAATTTTTATTTACAATGCTTAGGTCTGGGAATAAAAAATATACTAAATTAAATAAATATATTAAACAACTTATTAATCAATTTTATAAAATAAACAATTTTGTAATTTGTTCAATTCAAGCTTCAAACTCCCCAAGCTAACTTGCAATTTAATTAAAATTTATTAATTATGACTTTATGAGTGATTCAAACTAAATTTTTTTTTCATTTAATGTTTTACAAAATATTCCTTATTCTTAAATTGTAGTACATGTTGTTATTAAATTTATTAAAGATAATGTGTGATTCCAGTGATTCATCAATCCATGACTTGTTAGATCATGATCATTCAGTTTTAAAGAATCCCCATCACCATAACCAATGAGGTTTGTAAAAATTGTACTTTTAATTTATTATATTTTATGCACTTAGAATGTTGTGTTATTAATTATTAATACCTCGGGAAACCGGGTCTCTGGACGCAAAACGAAAATTGATTAATTAATTATTATCATTAATTTATTAAATGCTGTACATACCTATGGCAAGTAAATAAAATAATTAAGCATAGAAATAGCCACAATCAAATTAATTTATATAGGCATGAGTATAATTTGGATAAGAATAATTAAAAATATCGGTATCATTGAAAATGGATAAAGTCATAAATAAAAAAATAAATCATAAATTGTTAAAAATAATAGTTCTAGTAAGATTTTGCCTTACACCTACATCTTTTTTTCATTCTTATATTATAATAAATGTTTGTTATCAAATATATCAAGGATTGATTTCTCTATCCATGACTAGATTGAATGTCATGATCCTACAGTTCCAGAGGATCCCCATTACCATTAGTCAATAAGGTTTGTAGAAATCACCCCAGGCATAACGTCAATGTTTTGTAGCCACCTTTTAATGTAGTGTTAATAAAATGACATTGAGAATAGTTATTTAAAACAATCTTATTAAAATTATTGAACAGGTATGACAAGATTACTTTCTTAATGTCCTAGCGTGAGGAAGATGTAAGCCATTTGTCCAAAGATAATCATATGCCTTATGCCCATACAAATGCAGTGTCAACGCGAATGATTTTTGATCAGAGTCATATGTTCTAATTTTTTTAAACTTTTCCAGAAATTTTTCTGTTAATTTATTTGTTACATTAAATACTTGATGTGTATTTCATATAAAAACATGATTATGCCAATTTAGTTAACTTGTTAAGCATTAATATAAAATTGACTCTACTTGTAATGGTGATTGGTATGATGATGATGATCCCAGTCCTAAGCAGGGTTTATTATTCACAATGTCATTATGCCCTTTCTAAGTTTTAATAAAATACATGGAATATTGTTGAATGCATTTTATATTTTTTGTATAGATAAGAATGTTGCAATGTACAATGATGATGTGAATTGCTTCATTGTGTAACTGATGACATATAAATATAACTAACTTGAAAACATGGGAATGCTTTCTTCAGCATTACCTTTCTTTCTCCATCATAACCCTTATAATCTTTATTACAGAAATGGTCACTACATATTCTTGCATTTTTTGATGGAAGCCATTTGAAATCATTTATTTCCTGTCTAATGCACTTAATCCAATCGTTTTGCATTTTTACATTTTGAGGAAATCTGAAATTTTATAAACTGTTACAGAAACTTGTGCATTTCTTAAGTATTGCTTTTAATAATAAAATGGTAATCCATGATAGCATTATAAATTATAATAGTCTATAAAATAAAATATATGTAATTGTAAAACAAAATAGTTCTATTCAATATGGATATTGTTACATTTATTTTAATGTGAAGTTAATTTGAAAATAAACCTGTAAAAAGATGCATCAGAAATTTTCTCATTTCTATTTATTATTAATGCAATTTTTAAATGCAACAGGTAGGCATGTTTGTGTATAGCTACGAAAATGAAAATTTACTTAAAAACTAAATTATTGTATCTGACACGAAAATTAGTACAGAAACAAAAACGAAAGAATAAATAACAATATAAAAATTTAAACATTGATTGAAAGAGTTTCTTCTAATTATATGGTATGGGCAATTCGTTGCGAAATCGTTGGAGGAAATGGTGTCAACAGTAGTTATTTTACTGCATGGTAGTTAATCAGCCGGTATGAAGGTTATATTCAATTCCTATCAAATAAATTTGACAAAATATCATACACAGGCAGAACTAAATAAAGAAATAGATAGATATATACATGTAGTTATAATACATTTATAATGTTGTATTTACACATTCAAATTGTACAATTGTGTTATGGTGTAGTCTCAAATTATTGTGAATTCTCTCTTGTGAATTAAACGTTTTACTACACTATATATACTAGTTATTTTCATCAACAATTTAAAAATTTTATCGATAATTAAAAAAAAATTTTAAATTGATTTCATTGTGATATCGATAATGATTTTTGTAACCTGACTGATTAAAAAGCATCAAAGAAAATTAAAATAGGATGGAGAATTTGTTATATTAGGATATTCGTTTAAAAAGCGAGCAAAATTTTAACATAAAAGCGCTTATGCATATTGGCTTGGCTCGGCTTAGAATCGGATGTTAAGCAAGGTGTGGTCTCAAACTATTTTGAATTCTTCCCGAAAAATTTGAACTGCGTGCGTACATATATAGTAATGGCTACTGTTGTTTTTTATAATGAATTTATAAAATATATAAATATAGCGAGCAAAATATTAACATAAAAGCGCTTATAAGTCTATGCATATTGGCTCAGCTTGGCTTGGCTCGGCTTTGAATCGGATGTTAAGCAAGGCGTGGTCTCAAACTATTTTGAATTCCCCCCGAAAAATTTGAACTGCGTGCGTACATATATAGTAATGTCTACTGTTGTTTTTTATAATGAATTTATAAAGTATATAAATATAGCGAGCAAAATATTAACATAAAAGCGCTTTTAAATCTATGCATATTGGCTTAGCTTGGCCTAGTTCGGTTTGGAATTGGATGTTAAGCAAGGTGTGGTCTCCAACAATTTTGAATTCTTCCCGAAAAATTTGAACTGCGCGCTTACATATATAGCACTGATTACTGTTGCTTTTATAATGAATTTTTATTATATATACATAAAGTGACTGGAATCCATGTATACAAAAAATTAAATTATATTACATTAAATTATGTTTATATGAAAAGCAATATAGCAGATTCAACCAGCCAACCAGAAAGTTTCGAAGGCGTTCGTTCGATGACTTCAATTTAGTACGGTTAGCATTGTGGTTAAGACTGTATAATAGTGCAGTATATACATTAAACAAGTTTTTTACTGATGCGAATGATTGAAATGATGAGAATGTATAGTTGAAACGAGTATAAATAGAGGAGCTGAGACAACATGAAAATCAGATCAGCATTCTGCCTCGCTTGAAGCAGTCTGTCTGATCTCATTTATTTTATTTTTAAAATTTTTTTATTTTTATTTATTTTATTATATAGAGTTATATAGAGTTATATAGAGTTATATAGAGTTATATAGAGTTATATAGAGTTATATAGAGTTATATAGTGTTATATAGAGTTATATAGAGTTTGCATGTTTGTAGGTGGTATTTTTTTAATTTTAGGTGGGTTCTTTAACGGTTGCTCATACATACATACATCATGTTTGTTTGTGTGGTAGTGTTTTATGTTGTGTTTTACTCCTTTTTCTCTTTCTTCATGAGTCTTGAGTTAAGTTAATGAAGCATAGGTAGGTGAGGTAAAAATTAATTTATTATATAGGTAGGCTAGGGCATAAGATAATTTAGTTACATAGGTAGGTTATTCTTTTACTCTACTTGGTGGTGTGATTTTTGTTTTGTGTTTTTTTTTGTTTTGTTTCACATCATACATTCAGCAGGTATGCGGTGGTTCCTGGTTTTAGTGGGATTTTTATTGATTGAATGTATTATTATGCATGGTTATATAGAGTTATATAGAGTTATATAGAGTTATATAGAGTTATATAGAGTTATATAGAGTTATATAGAGTTATATAGAGTTATATAGAGTTATATAGAGTTATATAGAGTTATATAGAGTTATATAGAGTTATATAGAGTTATATAGAGTTATATAGAGTTATATAGAGTTATATAGAGTTATATAGAGTTATATAGAGTTATATAGAGTTATATAG